AAAAAATCAAACCAGTGTTCTGCTTCTTGCAATATTTTCTATGTTACAGGTACATAATTCAAAACAATAAAGTAGAAATAAAGACTTTCTCAGACAAATAACAACTGAAAGAATTCATTACCAGCTTCAAGAAAGGTATCCAGGGATAAGGAATATGATACCAGACAAAACATGGAATTTCACAAAACCTAGAAGAGAGTTAGAATAAAATAAATGAATACTGGAGTCCTAAGGTACCAATACCTGCCCAGTCGTCTCTCAAGCTGACATTTTGACCCTTTGCCACTTGGATTATGTTAATGTGAGGTAAACCTGACCAATATTCACCTTTTTCTGAGTCAAGGGGAAGATTACATTCTGGTCCCATCAGTTAGGCAAAGATACATGATGGCTTCTACCGACAAAGAGGGAGCAATTGTGACATGTCACTTTTATCCTGAAGCTATGAAAAAAGTTTGCTCTGTCAAGAATATGGTTCTTACATGGAGTCTGTAGACAGACAAGATTAAAGTGTTCTCAGTCACTGATTCCTGATGTAGAGGACAAGGGCAATGGCAGGTTGCCCGGATTCACAAATATTTTGTACATAGTGTGTTAAGCCATTAGGGAAACAATCAACACCAGACATAAACAACTATCTATAGTTTTCCTCCACCTCAAGCACTTTCTGTATTTCCAGAATAATGTAAAGGGAAAGAACATTAGGTGGTAAGGTAGAACAAAGCAAAACCTTGAGAGGGAAAGTACTTAGGAATACTGGTGGTTTTTACTTTGAGGGTAGCCTCAAGGCTGTCTTGCTCTGATGGGCATGAGCATAGCTATGATAACAAGGCCAACCTGTGTAATCTCACTTGTATTCCTCCATCAGGACAACTCTATACTAAAAAGCAAAGTCCTCAATGTGATGAAAATCTTTCCATTTCACAATCAGTTGGAAATGCTGTGGGCCCACAGCCAGAAAGCATTCTTACACTAGATCTTTTTTTTTTTCAGCGCCCTAAATTAACCAGCTGGAATTCCCTTTTATGTGCCAACCTACTCAGTCTTTCTTTTAATGGGAGATCTGCCTCTCATCACAGACATGGAACAGTTCATTTTTTTGACTTCTCTCAAAAAGCAGACTTTCTGGTACATAAGCTCGAGAGGGTAAAGACAGATCCCAGAACACTTGGTTCAGACAGGATATATGGTTGCCGTACACAGAGCAAAGGAGATTTTGGGGTGCCTGCCTTCACTGAGCAAAACTCAATGGTAATATCCAGGGACACCACGTACACAATCAGTCAAGGGAGAAAGAGCTGATACAAATGAAAATTCAAACTGATTAATTCTATCAATGACAAAGAGCTCTGTGTCAGCAGACACAGTGAGCACAGTGCTTTAAAAGATGAAGCTGGGAATTTTCTGGTACCTCTTATTCAGGGAATTATTCCATACCATCTAAAGATCATCCTAAATTTTTAGAAACTTAAAATCAAAAGGCAAATCTGAATTATAGTAATATAAAACTCAGGTAACAGAGACATGAAAAAGGTTTTCATTTATTTTTATTAAAAAACACTTATACATGTATCACATGCCTGGCCCTGAATAAACCTAACTTGTGCAGTAAGTGATAATTTGAGATACCAATTTCCTTTCCTACCTGTACCTCCCCACGTCCCCTGTGCAGCAGCAAGGACTCTCCTCCAGGCTACAGGTTCAAACTATTCATTCCCCTCCCGTACCCGCAACAGCTGTGCTGCCCCAACAAGTTACTGAATCTCTGTGTTTCCGTTTCGTTGTCTACAAAACAGGACTAACAGCACTGGTGGTATGAAAAGTAAAATACAGAAAGTTCAGGACAGCATCTGTATTATGTTTTTAAAGGTTTCGTTTTACCCAGTATCATTTGCTATTCACCTCTGATCTGTTCAGATTGGTAGTTCTTCTTTGTGTTAGAGAGAACGCATTACATTAAAGAAAGCAGAAACATTTTTAAAGTCACTCTGAGGACCCAAGGGGCTCAACATCCTAGCATTCAAAGGGTGGGCAAAGCCAATTGAATGGGGGGCTCCTGGGTCAAAACCCAAAAAAAAGAAAAAAGTAGTTTGCAGTAAATGATAGGGCTGGTGGTACAACACGTGCAAGGCGCTGGATCCAGCCCCCAGCACTGGGAATAGACTTCTAAGAGTTGAGTCTACACATAAATCCTTTGTTGGCACTGGCCAATCACAGCTAGAAAACCAGCCATGGTGGTAGTGCACATGGTACATTTACTATCAGAAATAAGAGCCTTTGCTCTTCCTTCTTGTCCTCAGTGTATCTGAGCTATTTAACTGGCTATAAAGATATTAAGTGAATTTTTTGCTTAAAATATTTTTAACATGGAAAGAGATCTTTTAATCACTCTGAACACTTCTTTCTTTTTTTTCCTCAATATATGTTTTTATTTAAATTAGAAACATGAATGCTTCACATGTCAATCCCAGCTCCCTCTCCCACCCCTCCTCCCTTGTCCCTCCACCAGCCCCTCAACCCCCCACCCAATCCCCACATCATTCCCCAGGGAGGGTGAGGCCCTCCTTGGGGTGATCTCCAGAGTCTGTCATTTCATCCAGGGTAGGACCTAGGCCCTTCCCCATGTGTCCAGACTGAGAGAACATCCCTCTATTTGGAATGGGCTCCCAAAGGTCATTCATACACCATGGTAAACACTGATCTACTACCCAAGGCCCCAGTGATTTCTGTGGCCTCCTCACTGAGACTACATTCATGGAGTCTGGATCAGTCCCCTGTTAGCCTCTCAGCCATCAGTCTGGGATTCAAGAGCTCCCCTTATCTGGTTGGCTGTCTTTGTGGGTTTCTCCATCATGGTCTTGACCCCTTTGCTCATCACTCCTCTATCTCTGTCACTAGGATGAGCACTAGGATAGCTGTATTTGATTCTCTACTTTTGTAAACTGATTTAAAAAACTAATTTGGTCATTCTTAGTTTGTGGTATTTTGCACTTGAGATGGGATATATCAAATCAGTCCATTGTAAAAACATACTCTTCCTCAGAGAGGTCAAAAGTTGTCAGACATCATGCAGGAATAACCTGACCTTGCCACTCCTGTGCCAAACTGGTCATCTCACTAGGAAGCAAGGTAGCTACTTTTGTTTCAATTGCCCATACTTTGGTCCTAGCATCACTTTTTTTCATATTTTAGCATTCTGAAATAACATTAACCTTTCGATCTAGAGCAAAAATAAAACGGTGGCTGTGTGTATAGTTCAGTGGTAAAACTCCTGCCTAGCATTCACAAGGCCATGGATGCAATCCTCTGCACCACAAACAAACAAAAAAGAGACAAACTTGGCATCTGCAAGGTACTGTTGTAATAGCTCTTAAAATTTTCTATTGCAAATGTGCACACGTATATGAAAACATACATATCTTGGAATAGATGACAGAATTTTCAGAAAACAAGAGAGGTTACTGTAACTCTATAAAGGAATGTCATTCAGGCTATCACATTCTGCATATCAGAAATATTGAGCTGTTTACCTTTCAGATACTGATGACCAAGTGGAAGAACAAATTTGCACAAAGTGTTTTTCATTGTGTCCCAAAGTTAGAGCTACCTACTCTCAATGGAGCTAAAGGGGTCCAGAACAAGAGTGTGGAAGCCAAGTGTCATCATGACACTGTACATCATGACATGAACTAAAAACAATCCTGGCGAAACCTTAGACTTTGAGCATGACAAAGGTTTACACAAAAATTTTAAGACATAAGGGAACATACATTATTGTCAGTATAAAAATTGACTATGTTTAACATGCCTTACACTATAAAAACTATGTGTCTTAGTGTTGTGAATTGCTTTTATAATATCAGTTCCATAAACAGTATCACCTGGCACAGTCACTAGAACAGATAAAAGCTCCTCGATTTCAGATGCTAATAGTAATATGGACAACACCTGAGAAACACAGCTCTAAGTTCTTTATAATAATTATCAACTTTGGTTACATTTCCAAATTGGGGGGGCAAGGTGATTCAGTGGGCAGGGGAACTTAGTGTTGACAGTCAGGTAGAAACTAAGGGTGAAAGAGAGAACTGATTGCCAAGAGTTGTTCTCTGAGTCCCATACACGTACCTTGCAGCACACACATGCACACATTAAATAAATCAAGGTAAAAACCAATCTCCAAAACTGAGGCTTAGCTGAAAAGGGGAAGGGGGCTTGAAAACATAGCAATAGAATATTGTTCCAGTATTCTAATGTAATCATAAGAGGCATTTAGTTTTCAGTTCACAATTATTTTCACTTCCCAACTGCAGAATAACTGGTTGGCACACAGATTTTGCTCATCGAAGTCAATTAGTTCATCCACATAGAAAGGAATGTAGGTAGGTAGGTATTTCAGAAACTTAATTCTAGTCCCACCCTACACTGAATCTGCCCTGGAAAAATTGTTGGAGACCCATTTTCATTCGATTTATGTGACAGTTAAGTGTCTCACTCTAACACTGCTTGAAGTTCTGTGGGGGAAAAAAAAGTATCTTCTAGATTGTATTCAACCACAAAAGAAAGTTGTCGGTTGGAGAATTCTGTTCTTAAAATAACAAAATACCTGTGTTTTGAAAGCTAACCTATACTCCTATCCCTTCTTAGATTATGTTTTATTATTCTGTTTTGATTAGAACTCAGTTTCATAGCACCCTTGGGTGCCAGCATGAAGAGTTAGAGTCAAATAAATTTCCGATTTGTGGGCCAGTGAAAGTCTTGGCACCTCCACTGTGACCTCTATTTTCACTCTGGAGTTGTCATTCGCAGGGCTAGAGGTTAAACCAGCATCCAACATTCTATATTATTTTTTCCACCCTGGAGATGTCAACATTTAAAGTCACACAGCAGGTGATTATAAATAAGTACAAATCAGATACAAATGGGGTCATCTTTGATCTCTCCAGTCTGATCTATTCCTTCTTTATCAACAGAGAAGGGATTCAGTATCACCATACACTCACCATTTGCCAGTCGCTAGCTTCTGGAGTTTAGGTTCCTGTGCTGGTAAGTGGGATTAGTTAATCAAATTTAATAAGAAAGACTCTGGCTCTTATTCTCTTCTGCTGATGAAAATTGTTTTACAACCTTGTTGGTTGTTTTTTACTCTTTACTTTTTGGGAGCCTGACACTCAGGCTCTCAAATAAATGCACATGGAGACTTTTGTTTCTTATGAATGCCTGGCCTTAGTTTGGCTTATTTCTAGCCAGCTTCTCTTATCTTAAATTATCCTGTCTACCTTTTGCCTTATGCTTTTACCACTCTCTATTTCTGGTATATCTTTTCTTTCCTTCTTATTTCCTTCTAGCTGTGTGACTAGGTACTGGCCCCTTCTTTTCTTGTTCCTTCATTTCCTCATCCCAGATTTCTCCTTCTATTTAGTCTTTCTGCCTGCAAGCCCTGCCTATTCTTTCTCCTGCCCAGCTATTGGCCATTTTGCTCTTTATTAGACCAATCAGGTATTTTAGGCAGGCAGAGAAACACAGGTTCACAGAGTTAAACAAATGCAGCATAAAAGAGTGTGACACACCTTTTCATCATCAAAACAAATGTTCTCCAGCATAAACAAATGTAACATATCTTAATATTCCACAACAACAAACATAAAAGAAATTTGAGCCATAAGGACATGTGGACAGTGCAAACACCTTTTCTCTAAGGATTAGTCTGAGTCAAATCTACAGGCCTTTGGACCAGAAGAAACTCCACAATTCTTGGAGGCTATTGAGTTGATCCTATGAGTAAAGATGCTTCCACAGAGCTCATTCCCAGACCCATAGAAAGCTGTAAAACAAAGGTCTCTACAGATCTCTTCTCTGACTCCACATATGCTCCCATACACTCACATCATGCACATGTACATGCACACTTACACACACACAGACACACACACATATGTGTGTGTGTGTGTACGTGGGCACTCAATTTTTTAAAACTCTCAAATGTTTGCCTCATAGCATCATATAAAATTAATAAGCACTCATTTAGAAACAATGGACCTTGTAACATATTATATTAAATGATGGTGTAAAAGAGAACAAAATTTAGAATCAGTAGTATAGATATCAGTTGCAGCTGACTAAGTGAGTAACTGTTGCCAAGACATTTGACCTCTTACACTTCAAGTTGAAAACATATAAGACTGAAGGGTAGATGAATGGTGGATTACTTGCCCTGCCCAGTTTGTGCACGGCCTTAGTTCAAGACCCAGTACAAGAAATAAACAAATAGTCGGACAGACAGACAGACAGTATCATTGCCTAGGAACACAAAGCCAAGCAAGTATGATGATATGTGTTATCATGCCAGCACTGGGGAGACAGAAGCAGGGGGATGAAGAACGAAGGCCTAACCTGAGCTGCATAGTAAGGCCTTGTCTCAGAGATGGAGAAAGGGGAAACAGGGGTGGAGAAGAAGGAATATGTGGAGAAAAGAAGGAGGAATGAGACATGTGATAACCACCCAAAGGATTATTTGAGAATTTTGAAAGATAATTTTTATGTAATAAACCCAAAGTTCATAAACACATTTTATTACTACTCTATTTATAGTGGTCGGTTTACTGTCAACTTACTACAAATTAGAATCGCCTGAGTAGGTAGCCAGACCTGAAGAATTCTCTTTATTGCCTTGATTAACATGGCAAGGCCCACCCCCAAATGTGGGCAGCACCTTCAGGTAGCAATCCAGCACCTCCCAAAAGGAATATTTCAAAAAGAATTTTTAATTTATTAATTTATTCGTTTGTTTTTTTACATCCTGGCTGCTGTTTCTCCTCCCTCCTCTCCCCTCAGTCCCGCCCTTTCACCCACCCCCCTCTATTCCCATGCCCCGACCTACTCTTCCTCTGTTTCTGTTCAGGAAAAGTCAGGTCTCCTATGAGTATCAACAAACGTTACAGTAGGACTAAGCACTTCCTCATGTATTAAGGCTGGGCAAGGAGACCCAGTGTGAGGAGTAGGGAGTCTACATGGGACAGACCAAGGCACTCTACATACATGCTACAGCTGTGTAGCTTGGTACTCTCGTGGGACTCCTAACAGTGGGAACAGGGGCTGTCTCGGACTCTCGTACTGTCTTTTGGGACCTTACCCCTCAAAAAGAATTCCGTTCTCTCCCCTTTTGCTCAGTTGGCCCTCCTCCTGAGTCGATTTGACCTATTGGAAAGGCTGCTGGCTCCTTCACTGCTAGAAGGATCAGCATCGCCAAGCTTTCAGCTGGCTCTCAAGGGACTTTTCAGGCTTCCCGACAGCCTGGGACAACTGAGGCACCCAGCTTGTCAGCTTGTAGAATGAGTAACTATGGGTTGCTGCCTCTCCCACCATAAACCCCTGATCCTTCTGGGACTACTCTGCAGTTGAGCTGCTCAGCTTCAAGGATGGAGTGCGAGGTTCTCAGTGTCTTGAGAACACACACACACACACACACACACACACACACACACACACACACACACACACACACATAACCTCGGTTTCTTTCCTGAGATTTGAAGGGAAAAGCCAGCCCCCATAGGTAACTGGTTTGAACACTTGGTCCCCAGCTGGTGACACTGCTTTGGGAGGATGTGGAACCTGTAAGAAGGAAAACTGACTGAAGGAGGTGGGTCACTGGGAGCAGGCCTGAGGTTTCACAAATACTAAGAAGCTGTGTATGCAATCCCCAGTATTTAAATTGTAAGTTTGTGTTGCAGGGAATGCCAGACTAAAGGAAGACATCCCCTTAAAAAGAAGTTCCTCCTACTAAACAGTTACAACAAAATTAGTCCAGCATAGTATGTATGAAACCACAGCTAGGTAGCTTGGTCCAAACTTATGGCTAGAATCCATATTTTGTTGGCTACTTTTAGGAGTACTTGTAGTTCATTGCAAATTTCAAAATACAACATGCCACACATAAATTATACAAAATACAAGTCAGCTTTGTGGTATGTGTGCTGCTAAACCTGTCAAGCTGGACCTCTAGGACAGGAAAGTAGGCTAGCTGCCCAAACCTCACCTACAGAGGTGAGCTCTAAAGTTGCCTGACAAGGTTGTGGTGTCTAGTCCCTGGAAGACTTCAAACAGAAGCTAAATAACCCTCCCCAATAATTGTTGTAGCAGGGAGTTTTATTTTGTTACATAAATGTACATCATCTTTGGCTTTCAAAGCCAGCCTTGATAGCTCAGTGACAAGTTCATGTGACCACCGCTGTAACTAATAAAGTGGATAACACTTGGTAAACCTAACTAAACAGTTCAAGATTCAAGTGAGAAATTTCAGGCTATATAAAATTCTCTAACATGTCCATGGTCTGAGTATAGCTTCTGCCTTAAAGGATTTTTTTTTCAAAAAGCAGTCATTTCAAACTTTGATAACCAATTTAAAAAGATGTAGGATGCAATTATTCTCATCCACTACTAATTTAAAAATTGTGGTGGGAAATTAGGACCCTTCAAAAATAATCTATTTTGGCTCGGTAACTTCAGAGATCATTCTGCCTGACCTTATTCTAGCACTAAGCGAAAGCATGTGCAAGGAATATGCATATACAAAAACTCAAGTGGAAGCTATTTGTACTTGTTAGGATTTCAAAATAACCTTAAGGTTTAAAATTAAAACATCAGATCATGATTACCCATTTAATCTGGTACTGCGCAAATCATTAAAATCCACGTCTGTAAAACTTCATTCACAGAGGGAAATTCACATATTTGATTTCTAAAAGAGACTTAAAATCCATTATGTTGAATGATCTCAACTTTGTTCTATATTAATATTAATATATTAATAGAGAAATCAATATAAATAATTCTTCTACCTTTTTCTTTTTTAATTTTTAATTTTTTAATAAAAGAAACTACTAGACAGTAAAAAGACTTCCCATGCTCATAGATTGGAAGAATGAATGTTGTGGGAAATGGTTTATACACTACATCTAATCACCATCAAACTTCCAACACTGTTTACACAGAAATAGGAAAAAAACTTCAAATTCATATAGTAACACAAAAGACCCCAGAAAACCAAAGCAGTTCTGGACTAAAAGAATGCTTGATATGTCACACTACCCAGTTTCAAGTTGTACTGCAAAGCTGTAGTCAACAAACAAACAAAACACCCAGCACAAAACTGACACAAAAACAGACACTTAACTCAATGGACTAGAATAGAGGATCCAGATATAAACCCACTTTATGTTTTCCTTTTTACACATACATGTACCATGAAAATGAGTGCTCCTTGACCTACGATGATGAAATCACTTTTCAAATACACTGAAAACTGAAAATATCATGAAAACAAAGTATATATATATACTTTAATATATATATATATATATATTAAACCTAACCTACTAAACCTCATGCCTTGACAACACAGTGCCCTATAGTGTGTGTTGGGGATCTTTGTGACCTTAGGCTGACTAGAAGTGGCAGTTGTCCATTGTTGCATTGTGAGAGCCTATTATACTAAACATCACTAGCCAGGGAAGACACTGAAATTCAAAATAGCAATTCTATGGAAGGCAGATTGCTTTTCCACCATTAGATACTCAAAACACACTGTAAATAGAATCACTAAGAGTTGTGGACTGTCTGGGAAAAAAAGTAACAGTGGTAGTGTGATTGTCCTTGAAGGTATGTTTTCCAAAACTCTCTTATTCTTCCACAATGAATAAATATTTATATAATAAGGAACGTCCTGTATGACATTCCTTTTTAAAGCTCTCCAAACAAATTCTACTTAATTCCATAGCCACCCTTTAATTTAATAAATACATTTTGAGGATTAAGTTGGAACAGCACTTGAAAGTGTCCTTTACTATTTCTTACTCGTTTGATTGATTGATTGATTAATTGATTGATTTACTTATTTTACATCCTGATCACAGTTTCCCCTCCCTCCTCTCCTCCCATTCCCTACCCCCATCTTCCTTCCACCTCCTCCCCAATCCACTCCTCCTCTGTTTCTGTTCAGAAAGGGGGCAGCAAAGCATGGCATATCAAGTTGCCATAAGACTAAGCACCTCCCCTTGTTTTTAAGCTAGGCAAGGCAATCCAGTATGAGGAATAGGTACCTGAGAGTCAGCCAAAGAATTAGGTACAGCCCCTTCTCCCTTTTTTTAGGAGTCCCACAAAAAGAACAAGCAACACAGCTGTCACGTATATGTAGAGAGCTTTTGTTAAAGCTGTGTCTTACCATTTTACTGTACAGTCTAAGTCTCAACCTCACAGCTATCCTGCCCCAGTCTCCCAAACGCAAGACTACAGCCATACACCATCATATCTGGTTCTTTTATTAGCTCAGTTGTTACTATTAAAAATTTGAATTGAGGCCGGGCGTTGG